TAAAACATCATCCTGATATTATATGTCGATAAATTTAGTCTTTTCTCATTAATGAATCTACTTAGTCGCCATTTCTCTAAAAGATACAAAATAGTCATTTATGTATTATTCAAAATTATCAGTAAAGTGTGTGTTCTACAAGGATCACCAGTCCTTCACCGTTCATCTGATACCATAATTACTAAAATATATGCTACATAGTTTAAAATTTACCCTTTTGGGTAGGAACTACTTTGTTTTAATTATGTACTACTTTCCAGTATGTTCTTTTTTGACCGGGCCCGAATAGGTGGTGTTGCATCATACCAAGTCTATCCAAATTATTTTTGTAAAGAATTCCGCTCCAGCCGGTGTTAGGGGCCATCTTAAACTTGCAGTGAGGTGAGAGTTTTTTTGCTCCGTGTTGAAGGCCTCACTGTGACTTTAAGATGAAGAACAGCAATAAAAGCGCTGTTCCTTTGCTTTTTGTGTTTTTTTGCTGTGCATGTAATGATTTTGTGTCATTGATGGATATCCCATATCCTTTGTATTTCTATTATTTATGTTTCATTTTGATTTTAGTTCTTACAGAGAATCAAAGCAGTCCCATAGTTCGTAGAAGTGCAAGCAATGAACTGACTTCATAATGCTGAATAGTTAATTAATTTGACATTGAATTCCTACAAGGAACTATATTAGTTTCTGTATAACGTCGACACCATTTACGTTAGAAACACTAAAATTATTAAAATATTTAGTACGTTAATCAAGTTATTCAAATTAATGCAACATAATATCTATAACATTGCTTGTTGTATAGTCTATCTGAAAGCTTTGGTCGACATTTGTAATATTTGTTTCTTTCTTAACCCTGACTCTTTATCATTTAGAGTAAAAAGCTTAATTTTCTAATATCAGAATAGTCAAAAATTGAAAAGATATTTCCCAATTTGAAAGGCATTTCCAAACGTGATCATTTCTACACAAAGCAACTACGTGTGCCACAAATTTTGTGTTGGATATTGACACTCCTAACACTTCTAACATGTTTGAACTTTGGTTGATAGTTGTCTCTTAGGCAACCAAACCACCTCTCCTTATTCTTATTATGAAGACTGATCTTCAAATAATTGAAATCGGCAGTATCTGTGATATGCCAGCGTAGTATTTACATATGTTGATATTAATCAGTTCAAGATCTTTACGTTTATTAACTGTCAAGTGTACGTATCATCAGATCTAGTGATATAAGTTTAACTTATCTAAGATTCCAACGAAATTTGCTCATTCTGTAATGCTTGTAATAAAACATGTGTTTGATGTTGTTTCTAGTTTCGTTGGTATAAAACCATGTAACCATAAAGTTGTATGTTTACACCAATGTGCCCTGAGCGCGTACACCATAGTCAGAAAGTATTTTAAACCCGCAGACCATCGAAGTTTTTATTTTACTTAATCTTGTCTTTTTTCATTGTTGAAAGATGTAAGAACTTTCCCGAGTGTAAAAATGCGATTTTTCAAGTATCTAGTTTGCGACACTCCAATAGAATGAGAAACACTGTCTAATATAAGATTTCATGATAAACAGCAGATTAACAGATAAGATGCTGACACCGAATTAGAAATTTTGGATAGTATTCAAACGTCTGTGGTGTCTCTCTAACCCTGCAAAAGTATTTTTGTGTTAATGGAGACATTACACGATTTTCTATTTGTGTTCCAAAATGTTCATTTATACATAACTCCCCTCCCCCCAAAAAAAATGGGGGAAGGGGAGTAATGTATAAATGAAATATTTTTGACAGTATAATATCCCATTGTCCTTTAGTGTCGTCCTCTTAAAACAATATATACATTTCTAAAAGAAATACATAAAGTTCATCAAGTACTTCCGTAAGGTTGGAATCATGTGCACATACAATTGTTTTCAACATCATAAATTTCTTTAGATCATACATGTTGGTTGGCAAACAGTCATACTAATCCAGGACTAGCAAACAATAGAAATTTGCGTTTTGTTTGATTTGTAGACTAATGGGTCAACATATCTTCCTGTCAAAAATTTGTTATTCTGTTAACTTAACATGTTATCGAAGCTGTTTAAATAAATAACCTGACTCGATATATGTTTTAAATGCTAATTAAAGTAGTCATATTTAACAGATTAAGTATAGGCATAATCAACATTAAGCGTTAGGACATGTACTCTTTGTAAGTCCCTCGATATTACTAGTGTTACGACCAAAATGAATGAACCAATGAAATTACTACAATCTGGTTGAATTTCAAAAAATAAATAGTGCGATAAACGGGGAATGTACATCACTAGGTTCCCTGGCGAACATGGAATCTACATCCTTTTCACGTATGCCTTTGATGAGGCTTTTTTAATCGTAACCATGAATCGATGTATTTTATTCATCAAATTTGAAACATTTTTAAGATAATGAATGAAAACAACACATTGTAAATTGCATACATCCGAAACGCCTTTCTAAATATACCTTCATCAGGAACCCTCAAAGCCGAATATGTGAAAGCCAAGAATGTATAAGAACCGAAACAGTTGAAGAGCTTTCTGACCAAAAAGACAAAATATATTAACAAGATCCATCTAAGGTCAACTTTGCCTGAGGGATTGGAAATCTTTAATTTTAATGATTTATAAATTTATAAACTGACAATTTCAGAAGGTAAGTTATAAATCATGTCAGTACCGAATTAATGACTACTGAGCTGATGATACCTTCTAGGACTGATAGTCCACCAGCAGTGGTATCGACATAGTACTGTGAAAAATACAAAGAACACTATATGAATTGCATGCGTCCGAAGCGCTTTTCTGGAATTACTTTCTTCATCAGGAACTTTCAAAGCCGAAAGCAAAATATGTTTTTCTGCTTTTTGCTGTACCTCTAACAAATGCAATATATCTATACAATTTATTTAAATAACAAATATTAGTCCTTTCAACATACAAATGATATCCAAAGGAAAAAATGTTTTTACAAACATACTGAACTCCAAGGTAAATTCAAAAAGGAAACATATCCTCCTCTAGGGAACACATACAAAACAAGAGTTGGGGTACAGCCGAAAAATGCATCATCAACTCATTATCCAGAGGATGTTTATTCAATAAATGCTATTTTTCAATTAATTGTGTGTTAAATGTTATATATCAATCTCATCTGAAAAATCTAATTCTATCTATATGACATTAAGTCTCCCGCCCAACTCGGTAAGGGGGATATAGAAATACTGGACGTCCGTTAATCAGAAATAGTAAGGGTTCTCACGTGTGCAATTCTAGTGGGATTTTTGTTAAATAAGTGCCGATCAACTTTTTTTTAAAGATTTATGCCCCTATGAAATATCAATGATATGGAAGTTTGCATTGTAAGCGTTCTTAGGCAAACTTTTTTGTCAGGATTGTTGATGAAATTCATATCGAAGGTTTATATCACCAATGTCTTGGAGGAGGTTGAAAATCAGCACTGATCAATTATATTGTCTCTCAAAATTACAATTCTTGCTAGATGTTTATGAAATCTATATTAAATATTAATATCAGCAATGTCTCGGATATGTTAAAAAATCGACTATTTTTAAAAGAGTTATGCCCTTGGAAAAAAATTGCATTGTAAACACCGTTTCATCTAAATTTCTTGTAGGATTTTATGAAATCTACATCAAATGTTAATATCAGCAATGTTTTGGGTTAGTTTGAACACTGTTTTAACAGGAATTCTACCCCATGGAAAAATAAATATATAGAAAATCACATTGTTAGCGATCTCATGCCTACATTTCTTGTAAGCTATTAATAAAAAGTTTAAAAGAACAAAAAGGTTTTTTTTGTAGTTGTGGCTCTTTGACAGTTATAATATGTGCAACGCATGGGGCCTTGGAGCTCTGTTCCGTTATTTATTTGTTGTTCATTTGACATCAATTGTTAATAACTTGAACAACTCGAACCTGCATAAAGTTTGACCTGGATTGTCATCCTTCACTTTACCTAATGTTCAATATTGTATGATTACCCTTGAAATATATTAGTGTCAACTGGTTCTAATCATTATGTGGTAAAAAACAAAACTGTTGACAAACCGATTTATAGAGCGACCTATTACACAACCAATGGACACTGTCAAAATCTTCCCCTTTTTATCAAAAGTAATATTAAAAAAAAATGCACATATTCTAAGTATTTGATCGTTAGTTCACATAGCATTCAGTAATGTTCCTTCTTATTTGCCTTTACTTCATTACACTAATAGAGTAAACAGTGATTTATGGAATAATGAGATTTTAAACCATATCAAAAGTTAAATGAATCAAATGAACTAATAACTAAGCAAGTCATACTCTTGCTATATATATGAAATGCATTAAAAATAATAGCTTAAATGATATTTTTAAGAAAGGATACATGCTCTATCATGTAATGTTTCATACTTATATTAGTGCAGTCTGACTAGAATTTTTAACTTATTTGGATAATTTCGCATTGTTGTCAATAAAATGGAATTTGATGCGACTGTCATACAAGTGAGAGGTTTAGCTAGCTATAAAACCTGGTTCAATCCACCATTTTCTACATAAGAAAATGCCTGTACCAAGTCAGGAATATGACAGTTGTTATCCATTCGTTTGATGTGTTTGAGCTTTTGATTTTGCCATTTGATTAGGGACTTTCCTTTTTGAATTTTCCTCAGAGTTTTTTGTGATTTTACTTTTTCCATTCATTTCAAAATTCTGTAGCAATTAGAACACATTTACAATAAGTATTAGAGTTTGCAAACATTTCTGCCTGGTCAGTGTTAATTAAATTGATCTTTCTAATAAGAAAAAAAATCTATTTTCAAGAAGAAATGATCTTCTTAAAAGTAAGTTTAATCTTATAGTTTTATTATATTCAAGTTCAATCGTTTTTAAAAGATACCGCCATTTTAACTTTATGTTCACTATTTAGTTTAGTAACTTAATGATTAAAGTCAGGTGATACCGTCGACCTTTTATCTTCCTGGTACACGGATTGAGATATAGCATTTTGAAAACCTAAAGTAAGACCTATTTTACTTGTATAAGTTCATTATCAAAGCATAAGCTCATTTAAGTTTTGGCTTTCAAACTTTTTTTTATCTGAGCGTCACTGGTTAGTCTTGTGTGGACGAGACGCACGTCTGGCGTATTAAATTTTAAACCTAGTACCTTTTGTAAGCTATTATTCGAGTGATTCTTTGTCCTATATGTTCTCCCATTTATTTGTATTGTAGTCCTGTCATGTAATGTTGTCATTTTGGTGTTGTGTTTGACGTTGCCATAAAAGCGGGAGGTTTGGCATGCAACAAAACCAGGTTCAACCCACCATTTTTTTCTTAAAATGTCCTGTACCAAGTCAGGAAAATGGCCATTGTTATATAATAGTTCGTTTCTGTGTGTTACATTTTAATGTGTGTTTTTGTTGTGTCGTTGTTCTCCTCTGATATTTGATGCGTTTCCCTCAGTTTTAGTTTGTAACCCGGATTTGTATTTATCTCTATCGATTTATGAGTTTCGAACAGCGGTATACTACTGTTGCCTTTATTTAAAAGTGTCCCAAATTTGACTGCTTAATTAGTATTCATACTATTTTGCAAATCTATCATTTATGATCATTTATGTTTGGCTTAACATTTTATTACAATCTTACCCACTGTTAAAATTTTGAGTAATTTTAGAGGTCAGACAATTTTTTGAAAATTGCAATTGATTTTATCATGTTTGTTAACGTCTGACGTTATGCATAAACAAACTTATTCAGGATTAAGATAACAAATGAATTATTAATTATTTGGTACAATACAAGGCAACGGGAGATAACTCTATCATATTTAAAATCATTTAAAAACACATTCAACATCATTAATGCACAAATTAAGTATTTTGTCATTAAGCAAAATACTAAGTAACAAATATCCTTACAAAATTGTCATTTTTTGTTACATTTTGATGTGGTTTCTTAAAGCTAGGACAATGGGAGAATGTGTATCTCTGAAGTCAAGGGACTGAGAAGTGCAATAGTTTTAATAGAAGAGCATGACATTGACTTGTATACCTCTCGCTTCTGAATACTTACTTATAATTAAATTTTACATTTAATACCAACAATGAAACACATTGATTTATGTGTAGCTTAGATACATCTGACATTTGTTCCGTTCGTTGATTGAGTCGAGCGTTTGGTTACTCCAAATTAAAAATAAACTGAGTATGTTTTACATACTTGAATGGCTAAGTTTTACTATAAAACAAATGTATTCTTATCAAAATCTGCAGAAATGTACTGCTAGTGAATTATTTTCTTCCCGTTTTCTAATTCACCGATATCTTCTCCGTATCCAGTATCCTAAACTACGAGACATCTCGTTAGTACTTCGCCATGTGCGAGAGAAAACCCGTGATGAAGGAATATGTAAACACACATGAAAGTTAGAGGATGTTAATTGATTCTGAAAGAAAATTCAAATACACCAAATAATTAAGCAACTGCTTTGACAAAGTCTAATTAACAAATAGAAACACATGGAAAATTTTAAAAAATAATATCTACATCGTTCTATTGCATATCTATTATCACAATTATTTTCACGTGTGCCATGCCCCTTGTTGATTGTTTATCAAGGTCACGTTCGGTAAATTTCGGCAATTAAACACGAAAGTTAATTAGAAGGCAAATTAATCACTGAATGAAATATTTTTATGTCGATTATCTGTTAAGGATTCGTAATAAATGTAAGAACTCGTGCATGGAGGACTTAATTTGATATATATACATGCATTGCTTAAATTATTTCCTCATCTTGACAATTCCAAGAAACTCGTTTCATATGACTGTATATGTTCATATCCACATTTTTTCACACGATGCAAAGGTTTTTAAGACACTGAAAAGTTAGCGTTAGACAACAAAATATATGTCTGGCTGAAAGTTCATTTCTCTTATGGTTGTGGTATGTTATCAACTTCCCACATGAAGATGTATTTCTCGTAACACATCAACCAGAGTGTGATATGAAAGTGATACGAAAAAATGAGTTAATTTGGTTGGCATATCCTGCAATGTGTGATGAATTTACGACATCTTCAATGGTTTTTCGTTAGTTCAAAGAAAATGTAAAAAGGTCACAACGAACTTTTTTTGCCCCGTTGCAACACAGCTTTGCGATTTCTTCAGTAACAAACAAAACTCAGATGTTTCACTGGAAATAATTCTTCTTATCAATGTTGGTTCTATTTTAAAGCGTACAAAAAGCTCGAAAACGTCTGATGTTAATGTATGAGAGCGGAAACTAATGTCTACAACCTATTGAAAATAATCGTTTGTATTACCCATTACTGTGGATTCATTTATTTTCGTGGGTACCAATTTTCGTGGATTCAGGAAACTTTGTATTTTCGTGGATATTTGATTTCGTGGTTTTACCAAAGTCTGCATACACTTCTATAGAAAATGTGTACTTCGTTGTACATTTAAATTCGTGGTTCACCTGTAACCACGAAATCCACGAAAATTGGTATCCCACGAATAATAATGAATCCACAGTATGTCTTTTTGATAAAAGGATCAAGGAAAATATGACAGAAAACGTTCAGTGAAAATTTGAACGCATTGCTCTTTTTGCCTTTGGAAGAAAAACGACGTGGATTATTCCAAAGAATTGTGCATTTATCTCTTTAATATACAATTCCTGGAGTAAACGTTGACACAAACATATGAGTATCTCGTATATTTAGACAAGTGGAAAATTTTCTTTTCAAAATAATTTAATAATTACACAACCACATACTTAGGCTAAACGATTTCTGCAAGTTAGGTCAGAAAATTTAACAGAAATTAAATAACATGTGTAAGTACTAAAAACCGGTAATAAAGATAAACACAGACAGAAATAACAGCTTCTATCAGAATATTATTTTAGTTTGCGGAAGAAACTCGAAACCGTCGTCAGTTTCAAAGTGCACAGAATATTTGGAAAATTTCAGTGACTCAAAAGTTACATCTCTTAAAATTTCACTTTTTTTAGGTTAACCCAATAGAAACTGAAATATATAAACATACTTTACACGAAAATAAGAAAAATACGAACATGATCGGAAAATGTAACATTCATTTGACAAAACAAAACGACAAAACAGGATTGTTTTTTATCTGTTGTTTGGGCGAATACAAAATTTGATTAAGAATATACTTTTCAAAAGTAAGTATATTACTAATTTCGCAATTCAACCCTGGTGCTTAAATGGTTTTTTTTTTTTTTATTATTATTTACTTCCCAGTCATTTATCGTTGATTCTTTCAGAAATGGGCATGGCATTTGCCAATGTTAAGAAATTTATAACAAAATGAAGTGTTGCGTAATTAGTAATTTTCATATTATTGTTAACCATAAATCATAACAGGACATCAGTTAATGATATTTCTATAATATGCATGTCATTTCTGTAATGATTATTGTATGCATTTAGAGGAAATTTACTGTACAGTTGGTTAGATAATCAAAATGGAAAGTTAAGCTGTCGTAATAGGTCAGTAATAAATCATACTTTAGATACAATGTCCGTAAACTCATCACTTTTTTCTATAATAAACTTTTTAAGGTACACTCGAGGCCATTTTTGTTTGAAAATCAAATAACAATACTTCGAGCTTATAGCAACCACAATGGTCTAAACAAAATAGCCAACTCGTTGAAATATAAATTTCCCCTCAAGAAGTAGTTATAGTGTCAGTTTTAATATACTTACAAAACGCGCAATTTCAGTTTGAAGTGGGCCTTTAAAAGCAAACCAGTTCCGAGGAATTCTTTACTTGGAGAATAATATTCTTGGGGATATGCAACAATTAACAATATCAATCCAGTTATAGCAACATAATCTTATCATTTGATTTCTGTACTCACCAAATGTGTTTCTGAAAAAAACATGTGTCCCTGTCTAGAATTAGAACTAACGACTAAATCGTAGAAAAATAACCAATTGATTATGAAGTAAACAAGTATTTAATCCGGTGTTATTAATAGATTAGAATTTGTTAATTCTTTATTCGGAAATCTCATAATTTCTTCGTTTTACAAGTTAAATCAGTTTAACAAGTTTTAACAGAACTATGTTATGACGATTTTAAAAATTGGTTTTAACAGAATAAATTCATTCTACCGTAATTTATATATCTAAAACTGTAACTTGATACTTAGAGTCATCGCGAGTTAAAAAAATAATTAGAAATTTGTAGTTTTATTTATTTATTTTTTTTTTTTTTATGATCTGTTCCAACAACTTTTGTGCTCCTTTGTTTAACTATGGAATAACGTAACAAAAATGTACATATAAAAATATTATTATGACTAGGCATAAAACATTTACTACTAATGCTGTCATTCCAGTCCAATTGATAAATGTCATCACTAGTAACCATCAAACTTCTCATTCTTTTACAGTTTGATTCAATATGGCAGCATCAAGATATCTTTGTGGTGTCTGTACCCTCCGGCATATCTCCAAACCCTCCATCGTCTGGTGTACTGAATGTGACGAAGGATTGTGCACGGAATGTCAAGAACATCATAATTTGTCTAAAGCTTCAAGAAACCATGACACAATACTAGTTACAGAATACCAGAAATTACCACCTGATGTATTATCCATCAGTCAATACTGCGACAAACACAAAGAAAAATATCAAATTTATTGCAAAAAACATGAATGTCCTTGTTGCAGTAATTGCATCGTGGAAAGTCACAACGAATGCCGAGATATCGTTACACTTGCTGGAGTCATTAGGAACGTAAAGACTTCAAACGCTTTCTATGAAATAGAACAGAATTTAGCGGAAGTTTTAGAAAACATAAAAAAAATCCGTGAAAACCGCCAAGACAACCTGAAAACATTATCAAAAGAGAGAGCGATAATTGAACGTGAAATCGAACAGACCCGTGAAACTATTTGCAACCATCTTGACAATATGAAAAACGACATAATAAAGGAATTATACGAGGTAGAAAAACAGGAAAATAAGGAGATCTGTCAACTTATAAAGATGTTGGAAGAAAAGGAGAACAATACAGTGGAAAGTCTGAGGAAAATTGAAAGCATAAGGCAACATGCGTCAGACTTGCAGGCTTTTCTTGCTATGAAACAATTAGAAAAAGACGTATTCCTGAAAGACGAATTTCTGCAGTCACGTAGCGATAAAGATATCGTAAAACAGTATTCGTTGATATATAAGCCAAATGACACCTTAAAAACATTTGCATCCGATGTAAAAGCGTTTGGTCAAGTTCTCATTGAAACCAAACTACGCGTGGTTGCACTGACTAGGAACAAGGGAAGACAAGCTCAGATAACGGTCCCAAACGTCGAATCCAAGTCAATTGAGGAAATCAATCTGCAACTTCACAAACAATTAAATCTTACTGGAAGATACGTCTTTGGGTGTTGTGTCTTACCGAATGGAAAAACTGCATTTACAAATTATAACAACTGTGTCATAATTTTAAACAAAGACGGATCTTTCGATTCTAACGTGAAGATACCCTATTTTGTATATGATGTAGAATATATCAATCAGGACAATACTTTGGTTGTAACATCTCCTTGCTCTCATATTACAATTATAGACATGAAAGATAAACAAGTTACAAAAAAGATACCACTGAATTCGGTCGCCCATGGAATAGCAGGAACAAATGATGGGCTCATTTATTCTGGAAGAGAAAAGGGAATCCAAATGATAAGTCTACATGACGAATCTGTTCAGAATATAGTAAAAGATGAAATGCCTCATTTTTGTTACGTTGCAACATTTGATAACAATATTTACCATACAGACAGCAACAAAAACACCGTGACATGTTATGATCTAAAAGGTAACAAACAATGGGCATTCATGAACAAATCTGTTTTGAAATATCCGACTGGTATCTCTGTAGACAATAATGGGAACGTCTTCGTAGTAGGAAGAACTAGTAATAACGTTGTAGTAATATCTGCTGACGGAAAACGACATCGAGTGTTACTTTCCTCTATTGATGGACTTGATAACCCATGGTCTTTGCATTATGATCGATCGACAAATCGGCTACTTGTTGCAAATCATAACGTCAAAGCATTTGTTTATTCAGTTGGTTGAAAAACTGGCCATATAGTTTAATAAAACAAGCTTGTTATTTATCGGTGTCCATTCGGTGTTCTTGTTGATCAATGTACTTTGTTCATAGTAGTTTGTTTTCCTTTATGAAAGATGTGAGATGGGCCACATAATTTCTTTACAATGATTCATCTGAATTTCTAGACATTGCCTCGGGAAAACATAATTTGAAAATTGATGTTAATGTTTAGTATTAATAGACAACATATCGGTAACAAAGTTAAAACAGTCCATTATCAAATCGTTAAACGTATGAAAATCTTTGTACATATAAGGGAAGTAACATGATTTATTAAAAACAAATGTACAGATTGTTCATAACGAGATACCATAAGAGATAACAGGATAGAAAAAAAGACTTATCAGCGACGCACTAATCACAACAGTTAAAAAGACCAAAATAAAGTACGAAGTTCAAGAGCATTGAGGACCCAAAATTCTGAATGGTTTTGCCTAATACAGCTTAGGTAATTAACCAGGGGTTAAACAAATCGTAGCATTTCGAAAAAAATGAAAGTTTTGTACAATGTTAAATTCAAATTATGAAAATATCAATGATAATTCATGTCAACACAGAAGTGCTGACTACTGTGTTAGTTGGAAAGGATAAAAGTAGGGTCGAGGCCTTCTGATTTGATATACAAAACAGAAAAGAATTCATCGCAAGTTCATAAGAAGAGATTGATACCAATAACAAAATGTTATAGTCTAGTCGAATGTTCTGTTTAACTTCTTTGTCCAGTCCTACATTATTTACCTAGACATTTCAAGTTTCTTGAATGATATATACCTCATATTTTGACCTTTGTATGAGGAATACCATTGATTTTCCCCTTTCAGTCTCTGTTAAATCGTCACTTTTCAAAAAAAAATCCGCAGAATTTATCTTTGTTCCAAATAAAGAAATACTTGACACAAACTTTATCCTGTTCAGTACTACAGTGAACATTTCACAAAACATTACATTGCAAATAAGATATAAACCATCAACGGAAGTAAACCAATCAAATGTTCACCCCTTTTTACCTGTTAACAAGTTTTAGTAACCATGTCATCAGAGGTTATTTAAAATATTTTATAGAAACAGCAAATAAAAAAGAATGGTGCTTATAAACACCTAAGATATATGTTTATGACTCTGCAATGAAATGCAGGATTAATTTACTGTCAAATCAAGGGAATACTTTTTTCAGCCCTTTTTCGTATGAAACCGGATGTGACGTACTATGATTTGGTGGTTTTACACATGTATTAACTTAGCATCTATACGCTATAGGTTGCCACATCTGAAACAGTTACAGTACGGTTATGCATATACATTCTTTAGCAAAGGATGTGGAAAATAAAATAAAATAATGAAAATAATGGTATTAATTATTTTTGGAGTGTAAAAAATTCTTTAGAGGTTTTAGATAAAATACGTGCTTTTGATGGTCCTTTTAATTCTGTTGACCGTTGTGAAAATTCTACTCTCTTCACTACACTTCCACACAATCTTATCAAGAAAAAGATATTTAATAAATGGTCTTTTGAAAAATCTCATTGGAAATATATTTACTGTATACGTGTAAAGCCTTTTTTTGTAACGAAAAAGGTAAGAATGCTAGATACACTTACTGGAAATGTGAAGATATGATTGAAGCTTTAAATTTTCTTCTGGACAACAAATATGTACGTTTCGGTGATAAAGTGTATCGACAGATAGTATGTCTTCCTCTGTTCACTAATTGCCCCCTTTAATAGCAGATTTATTCCTGTATTGCTATGAATCTCAGTGTATGACCAAACTCAGTAAAGACATGTCATTGTTACATTTGATTAAAACATTCAACAATTCCTACCGTTATCCTGATATTTTTACGCTAAATAGTCCAGAGTTCTCTAAATGTACAACCCCCCCCTCCCGAGTTATTAGTAAAGGTTATCTTATTATTGTTATAACAAGATCTTTGAATATTGTTCACATTAGCACAAATATCGATTTGTCATCAACAAATTAAAACATAACTAAATTTGTAATCTTTTCGAATGTTTTTTTTTTTATGTATAAAAACACATCCACGTTTATTTTCTATATAGAGATTGCTTTATCTATATATATATCATTATACATATCTATTATAAGATTAAATCCTAACTATCCTTCTGCCTGTGGATAGTTTTATTTTGGCATTGCACAAGTCATTTCTTCTTTGACTGTCCACGGCGTTAAAACACTTAATCCCTGGGATGTGGTTTGATTGATTTTAGTCTCTGATGCATGATTTTTTATTATTAAACGTTTTTGGCTTTTAAATAGCTTTCATTAACTGCGTGTACTCTCAACTCGTACTTTCGTGTTGATTTAACCTGTTGACACAATCTGTGATGCATTTTTGTTATTCAATGTTTGCTTGTTTTTGTGTTATATCTCGTCTCACTATTTTTTATATTCACCACCTTTTATAAGTGTTAAGTATTACTATAAATTTTCACTACTGTTCTGGTACTATGAACAACAAAATTATTTGGTAAAAATATTTCCGTACTCCTTACAACAAAATTATCCTGTTTATAGTAACCTGTGTACGTTATTTTATTAAACGCTATTTTGTCCCAGGTTGTAGTTGTCTTCTTGACATTGTTTTACATATTGTATCTATATTGTATCTGTCATAGATCAAATGTATTCGTTCAATGTATGTTTACTTGTTTTGTTAATATTTCCTTCTGATCGAGTTAAGCCATTTCAATTGATGTATGTCTTTCTATGTTGTAATGTTATACTACTGGTTCAGGTTAGGGTGAAGGTTGGCGACTGTTAAAACGTTTAAACCCGTTGCAGTTGTTTGCACCTGTTCTAAGTCAGGAACCTGTTGTTCAGGGTTGTCGTTTGTTGATGTGGTTCACAAGTGTTCCTCGTTTCTCGTTTTTCATATTGATTAGACCGTCCGTTTTCCTGTTTGAATGGTTTTACTCTAGTCATCTTTGGGGCCCTTTATAGCTTGCTGTTCAGTGTGAGCCAAGGCTCTGTGTTGAAGGCCGTTCTTTGACCTATTATGGTTTACTTTTTGCAAAATTGTGACCAGGATGGAAAGTTGTCTCATTGGCACTCATACCACATCTTATATCTATTGTCATACTGCCAACCTCGTTCAACTTCAAATATTTCATAAACACGCCAGGAATTCTATATCGTACATTTATTTTTTACCGTTTAACTAACTAACTGCAAGTTTCTGTGATTTATTCAAATGGATAAAATCGTTTTTACCATGATGATCAAAACAACTTAGATGATGATGTTGAATGACTAACTGACGTTATCAATTGACTGAGATAATCGCGATTGTCATTTGTACCGTCTATACTGTGTTGTCCCCAAAGTTGTCATCAATTCAGAGATCCGTGTTTGGGTACTGACATGATTTCTTACAGTCGTGTTTGCTTTGAAGTGTTTTAGTCTAATACATCATTGTCTTTTATATGTTTCGGTGAAGCGTTTCTGATGCAGGTAAATACAGAAAAGCGCTTCTCATGCAGTGAATCCATTTTCTAGTATTATTTTCATTTGTCCGTTATAAAATGGAGTCAAATAGTTTGAAAAAATAACTTTTTTGGCCGTAATGTGACAAAGTCATTGTTATGTCACATCGCCATTTTCTGATATCAAACTCGCCATAAAAGCACCGAGACTTTTCTGTGTACTTTATCGGCTGGTTTGTCCTTGAGACACTTTTATTGTCTATATATCTGATCATTTTTCCGTGACAAAAATTATACCATATCCGTTGAAGATTTTAAATGAAACGTATAGTTATTTGACAATGATCATCTTAGTTCTGAAAACGTTTTATTGTCGTAGGAAATTACACGTATACGGCGTATATCATATTGTAACTCTACTGCAATATGTGTTTAGTTTTCTTTTTCAGTGTCCATCGTTTAAAGTTTGTGACACATTGATAAACTCAGGGTTTGAATCATGTGGTACTGCATTTGTTTTCGATATAATAAATCAAGTCAATTCATAGGGTTTAAACAGCCATACTTAACTACCCGTACGAAATTATGAGGCGTATTACGCCTGGAAATCTGGCGTAAATCAGGCGTAAGTGGTGGTTACGTGTCCAGATCTAGGCGTAATGGAGCAGGAAACGTAAATTTGTAGCATTAACAGGCATAGAAAAAGTGGTAAACCTGGCGTAAATTAAAATAATTATAAGCAAGGCGTAAATTTTCCTACGGGCGTAAAACTGTTGGAAAGGCGTAAATCATTATACCCATAATGCTTTGTTTAAAGGATCATGGGAATTTTTTTTTCAAAATTTGGCTCTTTGGTATAAGCTTGCAAGAATTGGACATATTGCAGCTTGATATGTTCAGGGGAGATTTTCTTTTTTGTGCTTTTTGGAAGAATTTGAAATTGGAATTAAATTGATAAATAAAAATTGTGAAATGAAAGGAAAGTAGTATACATGGTAAATAATAATTATGTGAGTAACTAAGTTATCTAATTTTTTTTATTTTTTAACATAAATTTCAAATTCTGGAAACCTCATCCTTGAATAATAACATTTAAATCTTTCACAAGTTAAATTGGAGTTACTATCATTGATTTTTTTTAGTTCAAATCATTAATGACATTATTTTTCAAAACAATTTAGTCAAAATGCTAGTTTTATTTCAAGAAAAACTAATTGTCATAATTCTTATTCAAACTTAAAACTTATTTGAGCCAATGTCTGTCTGATATGTATTTATTTACACTAGCTTCTTCAATGGTTAATATTTCAAGTTGTATGTCAAACAAGGAGAAATTTAAGCAACAGTACAAGTTTGTATCAAATACACAAAGAACACAGCTAGGGTAATACACTGACTTAAATTAAGTGTAGTATTATGTAAGGATATTACGCCTGGTTTTCTGTCGACCAGGCTTACTCAGCGTAGAAAAGATTGTTATAAATCATGTCAGTACCGAAGTACTGACTACTGAGCTGATGCTAAATGTTTCGGACGTTTATCAATTTGAATTTCAA